TTTTTCAAAGAAATATATAGTCAAACATCAAAATTATCGAATATTAATAGATACCTGATTCTCCAGTTTACTGTATACTGAATAAGTCATGTTCATTGTGAAAAACTTCTTTAAAGATTGTTTCCCTGTTACTAATTACTATATTCCCTATAAAACATGTTATCAATTCCACTATTTTCAATGTGTAAGATTTTGTAAAATTTTTATAGAATTTGTATTACAAAAAGATCATAGTCAGTTGTTTCATACAATTAGTTCGCTTTATAAATTTAAATAAAGCCAGAACAAACATGGATAAAGAACAATATGAATTCAGTATGATGTCGTGGTTTCTCATTATTAGTTGCTGACAACTAAATATGTATGCATTACATTGCTTCTTATACTTACACTTCAAAGGAGATGAAATTACTGGAATAATTAATCATAGAATAAATTCCAGGTTGAACGTGACCTATCCAGGAGCAAAACTGATTACAGTATGGGAAACGAACTGATCACTTAAACAAACTAAAATCGACAAGTCCTCTTTTCTCAGTAACTCCAAATGTATTTACCAATTTACATGTACGTGCCATAATACATACATTAAAAGAACCGAGAGAGGAATACATGTCCGTATTTCTGACCATGTTCCAAAGAAATTGAGACTGCGGGGGACTAGGGCTCCCAATAGTGCAATAGCTTGGCATGTACTTGACACCAGGCATACCACTGATATCTCTCAGGCTTTTAAAATTATTAGTAGACAAAGAAGTACGGTTGCTCTCTGTTTTGCTGAAGCGATCGCGATAAAAAAAACCTAAACCGGATCTATGTATTCAAAAAGAGATAGTAATAAACTTATTACTACCCTGTTAATCCATTTTTTTTGTTTGTTTATTTTTGTTTTTGGTTATTAGTTTTATTTCTCTCCCATTACCGAATTCTTAAACCACTCTTTCACTCACACATTTCTGCTCACTTGATTCTCTTAAATTATGTGAACTCTTCAAATTCTATTCAATTATTACGCAACCCATCTTATCAATTTTCTAATTCTATGAATCCTTTATTACGTCAATAATTATCACACAATTTATCTTATCTGTCTCTGAACACCACTCATCCTTAATGTTTCCTCGATTCTAAACCTAATAACCTTTGACCTGTTCTGTATTTGTGCATTTTATTCAGTAGTACAATACTTTTTCTCATTCACTTTTGTGTTCTTGCTCAATTAGTCAATTATGGGGAGGGGTTAGCCCGTAGCACACCGTCTATCGTTATCGAATTTTATATATATGTAGTTATCATTGATAACCGCTGTCATTCCAATTCTTTACATTCACTTACGTCCATTGTTCCATACTATTTCTTATCTCAATATAAAACCCTAATACATATTTGGTTGTAAGCAGTTGAGGAGAAATCACAAAATATAATAAATTCATATTATTCTGCATCATTATTTGTTCTGGTTTTATTTAAATTCATAGTCAAATGTTTGACATTTCAGTATGAAATAGTTGGTTCTGTGTTCGATTACTGAATGAGGAGTCGTAGATACATCCCCATACTAGGACAAGATGCTTTCTAGTTTTCAGTAGTTATGTTCATTGTTATCAGTCAATCATATAGATATTCAACTTTAAGTTGTATAAGAATTGATATGCAAAACTTGTCTTTCTATAATTCTTAGCAAAATCGAGTATTATACATCCAAAAATATCGAACATTTCAGTAGCTCTACTGTAAAACAACACAAATGGCAGATATTACTAATAACATACACATAGTTCCCTTTATTATCTTAAAGAGAGCAAGAACAAAGATTGGTGCAGAATAATATGAATTCATTTTATTTCGTTAGGTTCTCATCAGTTGCTTACAACCTAAAGTATTTAAAATTCAACATTATTACAGATATTGACACACTTATGCATAAGCGAGTGATTAATCGGTGAATATATGTGTATTGTGATGTAGCAAAGATTCCGATAGGGTTGATAAGGTCATAAAATTTTTGTCTCGAATAAATAGAGTTTGAAAGGGAAATTTCCGTAACATTGAAATAGTGATTAGAACTCCTGAAAATAGATTAATGGTAATAAAGATTTAACTGATTCCACTGAGAAAAGAATCACCAAAGTACTCAGAGATCTGAAAAAAAGTTGATCGACAATCCTACTTACAATAATCTACGACCTCGTGGGTCTCGTTTGCCCCACATGTATGGATTACCAAAAATGCATAAACAAGGTTATCCTCTAAGACCTATTTTGTCAATGGTCAATTCACCATACCACAAAATTGCACGATGGTTGGCAGATAAGTTAGAACCAGTGCGTCAACGATTAGCCACCTATACAATAAATGATTCATTTGTATTTGCTGACAGGATGAACCACATAAGTTTATGGTTTCTTTTGATGTGACACCATTGTTTACAAAAATACCACTTCGTGAAACTATAGACATAATTTGTCAGTATTCTGACATCCTACCTCTACCAGCGCCAGAATTCAAACGACTGTTACTCATTTGTACAAAAGATGTTCAGTTCCAGTTCAACGATATCATATACAGACAAACCGATGGTGTAGCGATGGGAAGTTCGTTAGGTCCTGTCCTAGCAGATATTTTCATGACTAACCTCGAAAGAACCAAGCTCAAAGGAGCGATTGGTGAAATGATGTATTATTCGAGGTATCTTGATGATACCTTCATCGTATGTAATAATCAACAACATGCAACAAATCTGCTAAAGCTTTTCAACGAAGCCCATCCAAATATCCATTTCACTATGGAACATGAAAAAGAAAACAAGTTCCATTTTCTCAATATTGCGATAAAACGAAGAAAGGATGGTACAGTTCAACGTTCAGCTTATAAAAAAGACACATGGAATGGAAGTTATCTCAATTTTAATAGCTTTTGTCTAATCATTTACAAAAGGGCACTGGTCAAAACACTGTTTCACAGAACAGAAAGAATATGTACTTCCGATACACTAGAAGAGGATGTTATGAATGTTAAAAAATGTTTAAAGAATAACGGGTGCCCACTGAAATTTATTGAGAAATATGGCAAACGTGAAGATAAAATACCCAAAGAAGTTACAACAAATAAAAAGCCTATTTTTATTAAACTTAAATTCAAAGGTGATAATGTCACAGGATCAATCAATATGAGGCTAAATACCGCATTGACAAGAACTTATCCTACAGCAAAATTGATTGTCCTGTCCAAAACAACATGTTCTTCGACACAATCAAAGATCGACAAGTATCCCTTTCATGTTACTACCAACTGTGTATACGAATTCACATGTATTTGCCAGAGCAGATACATTGATAGGACAGAAAGGAGAGCCTACGTCCGATTCAAAGAACATATTCTGAAAAGTTTAACATCAAATGGATTGAAAGCATTCACCAGTGCCATCGCAAGACATCTCCTAGACACAAGACATGAAGTTGATACACTGAAGTTCTTCAAGGTGATTAATAAACAATCAAGCTCCAATCTTCTGAAATTTGTTGAAGCATTAGCAATCAAACGTCTAAAACCAGACTAATGTATACAAAAAGCGACAGTAATAACTCTTTCTTTACCCTGGTGAAAATAACCCCCCTTTTTATTCATTTATTTCTATTAATTAATTAATTTATTGCGTCATTATTCTAAACCTTTCTGAAGTTTAAATTACATCATACATAACTGACTGATTTCAATTCATATTTTCCTTTATAACCATTAATCTATTTTCATGAGTTCTAATCACCATTTCAATGTTCTGGAACTTTCCCTCTCAACTGTGTCGGAATCTTCGCTACACCATGATACATATATTCATCCTTAATCACTCGCTTATGTATAAATATGTCAATATCTGTAATAATGTTGAATTTTAAATACTTTAGGTTGTAAGCAACTGATGAGAACCTAACGAAATAAAATGAATTCATTTATTATTCTGCACCAATCGTTGTTCTTGCTTTATTACTAATAAGCTATATGGCTATGTAGAGCTGAAGGTTTCATATGAGATCGGAGGTTCGCCATCGGTATTATGGATAGTTCGGCATTACTTTGACAAGTTTTGCTGACTGTTCATGCACAAAATTGGTTTGTTGGTTAACCAATTCCATTCATACTGGTGGTTGCTTTTCAGTGTTCCCGACGGCCATTGTCATTAGGACATTGTAAGACATGTCGCCATTGCTAACATTAATGAGTTCGACAGTCGTGTAAGCGGAATAGGTCAACTTTGGCCTGTTCGTGCAGTGTATAATTGATTCACGCGATCATTGATCTGAATAACTAAACATGTGACGTGAATGTGTATATGAGTGTTGCGAATGGTCCACCAGGGTGCTTGGTACCTGTGTGGTTGCACCATAGGATTGAGCTGTGCTATTCAGATTGTAGTGCTGAAACCTATACGGTGTCTGGTTCTCCTGTGAAGCGGTATTAAACTGTACTGGTTGGGTTATAAAATTTAAGCCTGGGCGGTGTCTGGCTCTCCTGTTAAACGGTACTGAGCTGTACTGTTTGGGTTGTCATGTGAAAGTCTGGATGGTGTCTGGTTCTCCTGAAAACCAATTTAAAATTACCCTGGCTCACAAAGGTATATTATAGAACTATAACTTACTAATAAGTATTACTTTTAATAATATCATTGAATCTTACTTATTCTCCTCAGGTAGTTCATCAATATTTTCAATATCGGAATTCTCTGATCGATTCAAATTACTGTCCATTTATTTAGAGTACCTGAATAGAAAATAAAATTGTTTTATGAAAAACAAAACAAACAATTAGTGTCATTTTTAAAACAAAGATGTTATAGTCACCTTATTATTAATATTATTATTTTGGCAAGTTCTGTCATATTATTCCTATTGCCAACTAATCAGGCAGAAACAGGAAGAAGTAGACCATAAAATAGGCATCATTGTTAAGTATATTAAATATATTGTACATATTTACGTGTGATTGAATTACACATTAAACAAATGTATATGTATATTGTACTGTTCCAGATTTATGGGTGCATGTCAGTATGTACGAATTTAAATGCATCTTAGCCATTCTTAAATAAACAAAATAAGGATTAGGTTTTCTTGATTGGTCTTAGCCTAAACGATCAATTTCAAAATGTTTATATATTCTATCTTATTGTTTATATATTTATACTCCATCATCATTATCATTATCATTATCATTATCATTATCATCATCATCATCATCATCATCATCATCATCATCATCATCATCATCATCATCATCATCATCATCATCATCATCATCATCATCATCATCATCATCATCATCATCATCATCATCATCATCATCATCATCATCATCATCATCATCATCATCATCATCATCATCATCATCATCATCATCATCATCATCATCATCATCATCATCATCATCATCATCATCATCATCATCATCATCATCATCATCATCATCATCATCATCATCATCATCATCATCATCATCATCATCATCATCATCATCATCATCATCATCATCATCATCATCATCATCATCATCATCATCATCATCATCATCATCATCATCATCATCATCATCATCATCATCATCATCATCATCATCATCATCATCATCATCATCATCATCATCATCATCATCATCATCATCATCATCATCATCATCATCATCATCATCATCATCATCATCATCATCATCATCATCATCATCATCATCATCATCATCATCATCATCATCATCATCATCATCATCATCATCATCATCATCATCATCATCATCATCATCATCATCATCATCATCATCATCATCATCATCATCATCATCATCATCATCATCATCATCATCATCATCATCATCATCATCATCATCATCATCATCATCATCATCATCATCATCATCATCATCATCATCATCATCATCATCATCATCATCATCATCATCATCATCATCATCATCATCATCATCATCATCATCATCATCATCATCATCATCATCATCATCATCATCATCATCATCATCATCATCATCATCATCATCATCATCATCATCATCATCATCATCATCATCATCATCATCATCATCATCATCATCATCATCATCATCATCATCATCATCATCATCATCATCATCATCATCATCATCATCATCATCATCATCATCATCATCATCATCATCATCATCATCATCATCATCATCATCATCATCATCATCATCATCATCATCATCATCATCATCATCATCATCATCATCATCATCATCATCATCATCATCATCATCATCATCATCATCATCATCATCATCATCATCATCATCATCATCATCATCATCATCATCATCATCATCATCATCATCATCATCATCATCATCATCATCATCATCGTTATCTAATTATTGTTTAGGTTAGTCTATGTTCGCACATGAAAATGAAGATCTTTATCTCGTTTTTTGGTTTTCAATATCATTGGTGCTAAAAATAAGTAGCCGTTTATTTTATTCAGGTTTTCAATCGGTTTCTTACTTAGTTGGGTTCATGATTTTAATGAAAGTGGTTTCTTCACGTTCTTTCTTTTTGTAGATCAAACAACAATCAGTCATAGTTTGTACAAAAAGCTAAAGTATACGTTTTATGAGACTTTCTTTCTTGTGAAGTTATAATTAATTCATATGAGCAATTTGTACATCACTGAATTGTTTTATATTTAGTGGTTCCAGGTTTTCTATGGTTATCTAGCTTCAACTGACTCATGATCTCAGCTACTGAAATCACTATAATATCCACAAAATTCCCTTTCTGACATTTTTCAAGTTTTGTTGTGTTTTTTTTCTACCTAGATACTACTTAACTAAATAATTATTGAACTGAATGATATAAGTTTAATGATATATGCATGTATAACTAAAGTTAGAAACACATTTTACACGGTAATCTACACATACATCTCAATATCAGGAAGTTAACACTCTGTATTTAATTTTTCATTTATTACTGATTAAACAATCATTCAATAGTATAGTTTAATTGTTTATTTCATTACATGTTTACTATCTATTTACAAAAATGATATTGTTCTCATGCATAGTAACAATATAAAGTCAGGTGTTTCCAGTTTTTTTTTTCTGTTTTGTTCAATAACAACTAATGTTCATTTATTACCAATCTGTATATCTCAGGAAAAACAAGAAAAACATTGAAATAAACCTGTGAAATATGTAGGCAAACATGAGAAGAATGAACAACAATTGGATAGAACAAGAAAGGAAGGCCCATGACAGAGTGTGTTGGAAAATGCTAGTCGATGGCCTATGCTCGATTGGGAGTAACAAGAGTAAGTAAGTAAGTAAGTAAGTAAGTAAGTAAGTAAGTAAGTAAGTAAGTAAGTAAGTAAGTAAGTAAGTAAGTAGTAAGTAAGTAAGTAAGTAAGTAAGTATAAGTAAGTAAGTAAGTAAGTAAGTAAAGTAAGTAAGTAAGTAAGTAAGTAAGTAGTAAGTAGTAAGTAGTAAGTAAGTAAGTAAGTAAGTAAGTAAGTAGTAAGTAAGTAAGTAAGTAAGTAAGTAAGTAGTAAGTAAGTAAGTAAGTAAGTAAGTAAGTAAGTAAGTAAGTAAGTAAGTAAGTAAGTAAGTAAGTAAGTAAGTAAGTAAGTAAGTAAGTAAGTAAGTAAGTAAGTAAGTAAGTAAGTAAGTAAGTAAGTAAGTAAGTAAGTAAGTAAGTAAGTAAGTAAGTAAGTAAGTAAGTAAGTAAGTAAGTAAGTAAGTAGTAAGTAAGTAAGTAAGTAAGTAAGTAAGTAAGTAAGTAAGTAAGTAAGTAAGTAAGTAAGTAAGTAAGTAAGTAAGTAAGAAGTATAAGTAAGTAAGTAAGTAAGTAAGTAAGTAAGTAAGTAGTAAGTAAGTAAGTAAGTAAGTAAGTAGTAAGTAAGTAAGTAAGTAAGTAAGTAAGTAAGTAAGTAAGTAAGTAGTAAGTAAGTAAGTAAGTAAGTAAGAAGTAAGTAGTAAGTAAGTAAGTAAGTAAGTAAGAAGTAAGTAAGTAAGTAAGTAAGTAAGTAGTAAGTAAGTAAGTAAGTAAGTAAGTAATAGTAAGTAAGTAAGTAAGTAAGTAAGTAAAGTAAGTAAGTAAGTAAGTAGTAAGTAAGTAAGTAAGTAAGTAGTAAGTAAGTAAGTAAGTAAGTAAGTAAGTAAGTAAGTAAGTAAGTAAGTAAGTAAGTAAGTAAGTAAGTAAGTAAGTAAGTAAGTAAGTAAGTAAGTAAGTAGTAAGTAAGTAAGTAAGTAAGTAAGTAAGTAAGTAAGTAAGTAAGTAAGTAAGTAAGTGGGTAAGTAAGTATGAATAATTATGTAGATACATTTATTTCCTAATGAATTTCAATTAAATTATTATTTACATTAGTTGTCAACACAATATTTTGTACTATTAACCGAAAGAGAGTATTTTTTGTGGAGGTTGTAGTAATTTAATAGTTGAATTCATGAATTGATTAAAGCTAGTTGGATTAGTTGAAGTTAGACAATAATACCGTTGAATCCCGACCGACTCAGTGGTATAGAGGTTAAGTGTTCGCGCGTGAGACTGAAGGACCTGGGTTTGACTCCCTCGTGTGAAATCGTGGATACTCATTTCGTCCTAGTATGGGACTCCTCAGCAATACGCATCCACGATCCCGTGCGCGGGACGAAATAGTCATTCAGTGATTCCAGGTTTTCATTGATGATCTAGCTTAGATCAACCCATGAATTAAGCTATTATCTCTGTTAAAATTTGTTTATTGATTGTTTTTAATTTTTCGATAAGGTAGAGAATATTTGTAGGTCAAGTGGATGATGTGAGTGAAGTTTCATTTTCTGAGCTGGAGAAAAAAAGCTTCACCAAAAGGATAATGTTTTCATGTTTATGTGATGGTTGTAGGTGATAAAGATGAAAATAAACCTTGATTTCATACTAAATGAAACTCATCATCACCTTATGCATAGTTTGTAACTGTGATAGGTTGTATTATTGAGTTGTTAACTTTGATCTTATCAGTTAGTGATTGACATCATGTAGGATTGAGATGCTTACTTTATTTGATCAACTAGCAATAATCAGTATCAAGTTGTTATCTGTTTATTATTGGTGATCAAATTCTATGTACCAATTTCGGTCATGTAAACCACAAGATGCCACTTCACTGATATAAGGGTTACGTTTTCATAATGATATCCGGGTTCGATCCCTGGTAGGGTAGTAGATATTTTTACAGATGAAGTCAGATTGTGATCAACGATTTCAATGTTCCAACATCATATACACTATATTAAATAGTTTGATATTAGTGGAACTAAGAAATATTCTAACTAAGATTTCTAATAAGCTAATCAAACACTTTTTAGTATTTTAAGGTAAGTGAGATAATGAGGAATATATATAGTTTGATTCAGGCAATTGATGTAATCATTTTGATGGAGTTTTGTTCTCTGAGCTGGATGGTTTGGTCGTGGAGTGGAGTTTGTGCTGATGATGTCGTTCAGAAGAACAATGAAAGCTCCACGACCAAACCATCCAGCTCAGAGAACAAAACTCCATCAAAATCATCCACCTGAGCTACAAATCTTCTCCACTATGTAATCATTTGTTTAATGTTATCATATTAGATTTGTTTTTGATTAATGGAATGTTTAAAATAAAGTAAATATTTATTGACCTGTTAAATGAGGTTTACAGTTGGAATAATTTCTATGTTGTAGAATAAACAAAGGTATTTTAAAAAAAAATTGTGATCAAGGCAACTAATAATCTCGCGGGGTGCAGGACCGTGGATGCTCACTACTGAGGAGTCCTATACTAGGACGAAATGGCCGTCCAGTGCTTCCAGGTTTTCTATGGTAGTCTATCTTCAATTGACTCAAGATTTCAACCAGTGAAACAACTAATAATCGTTTGATAGTTAAGGATTCAAATATCCATTTTTATGATGGGTAGGGAAATTATCATTGCGAAAAAGGGATGATTCAGTATGATAAGATAAAATGTTGGAATTAAGATGAAATGTAATTAGGAAGATTAAAGACACACATACACACAAAAATAAACAAGTTGGAAGTAGAAGGTTTATGGAGAAGATGGAAGAAGAAACAGAATGTTGGGAAGGAGGAAAAAATATGAAGAAAAAAAAGGAAACTACGAGATATTAAGACCATGGTAGAGGAAGAGGTTGTACCGATTTCTTTTAGACACATAATCTGGTTATTACTTGGGCAATGTTAAAAAGATGTAATATAACTACCACATGATACCCTTTTACTTATTTTGTAAATGACTTTAAAACTCAGAATCTGTCTTGATTCAGTGACCTGTGTTCACTAAATGTTCGATTATTGAGCTTCTTAATGAGCGTTTTCCATCTGTTTTTTTAGCCAGGTTTTGTGATGTTCTTGAATTCTTTTGGATAAAATATTCATCGAACGATCTATTTACCTGACTCGACATGAGCAGGTAAATTTATAGATGCACATAGAGTTTGTCGGATGAGATAATTTATCCATAAGACTGTTGATGAACAATGATCGGTTGGAGAATACTATTCGCAACGTTACTGCGAAAAACTTTCTTGTTAAAGAATATGAAATTCTCTTCTATAGAACGTTTGTAGATCTTTTGCCTTTAAAATCGATATTCATGTTGAGTGTTTGCATTTCATTTATGTCACAGAATTTTATCTTGAAGGATAACACCTCTAACTGTATATTTGTTAAATATATTGAACAATGATTATACACATATCTCTAAGGATTGATCGAAAATATAAGTTGTGTTTCTAAGGTTTTTTAAAATTCTTAGTGTGTGTGTCTTTGTCAATAACATAATCAGTGAAAAGATGATGTTCATTAGGTGTTAACTCATATAACACAGGAGATCTTTAAGAACTGGTAAATTCTAACAGTGGGATATATGAACGAATAGAATCGATAACATTCGGTGCATGGCCTTTAAGAGATTTAGAGTTTGAAGATATATGGTTTCTTCGAAGAATTTTCCAGTAACATTTTGGATATTTGTGCATGTTAATACAATCATTAAGAAAGATATCATTCACGTTCATCTCAGCAAGTTTGATAGAATAACGCAGAAACCCATTACATTCTTTTACTGTCGAAAGATCATTGGATTTTTTTATTAAATGGAATACACTCATTAAAATACCAAATAAGAAAGATTTATTTGCTCATATGAAGACAGGTATATGAGTCGTTCGATGCGTACTTTATCCAAAAGAATTCAAGAACATCACAAAACCTGGCTAAAAAAACCAGATGGAAACGTTCATTAAGAAGCTCAATAATCGAACATTTAGCGAACACAGGTCACTGAACCAAGACAGATTCTGAGTTTTAAAGTCATTTACAAAATAAGTAAAAGGGTATCATGTGGTAGTTATA